TTAAGAGGCCATAGCTGGTCTTCTTATCTCAATTTGTAGTTCCTCTCCCCTTTGTCTCTCTAGGTTTCCAAGTGCATGTGATGCTTGACTTGTATTACCCAGAACTTCATTCTGAAGTCTGCTGACATTTCTCCTAATTATTACTGGTGAAAGTGGCAGTATATAGAAACAATCCTGAAGATTTTTATAAATTGTACATATTTTCTACTTCCACTCTAAAATCTGTACAAGGACTTCTATTTCCCTTGATTATCAGAATCTATAACCACATCTCCCACCAAAACATTCTTTGTGGATGGTTTATCTATATCATATGAGAACTAAATGGACACATGTTCATCATTTTTTCTACTTTAATGAAGCAATTGCCCTGTCATCCCGTTAGATTAAGAACTGTCAGGAAGAAAAACCGTAGACCTGAGTGAATAGAAATAAAATTTCAGTCTTCTCAGTAGATAAAATAAATAGTGATGGGTTTATCCTTTATTTCTCAGGGGAAAAAATATTCTGTTTATGGATTTAAAGAACCATACACAGTTTTTCAGGGCCTCCACCACATTCGGTGGGATAGTAATTCAACATCACAAACGTTTGTGTGTCTGCTTTGTCTAAGTAATAATGGGGTTTCCCCATTCCATAAGGACTGCTGGGGTTGTGCACATGACAAGATCATGAGCATACACACTTTACTTCGCTCCTCTTCTATTTGCTGTAATTAAATTACTTTGTTGCTGCTGTATTACTTAAGGATTTATAGACCCTCAGAAAGACTATCAGTGATGTTTCTGGCAGCAACATGCCTGACAAGAAAGACAAATACAAATACCTATACAGAAATACAACCAGTGCCTTCTACATTCTGCTGTGATCACTTGACACCAGTTGTAGGGCTGATCCCTGATGTGTGAAACAATGTTAGGGACTCAGGAGGGATCATTCTCTTGAACAGGGTGGATGCTCAGATGTGCCAGTAGCCATGTGAGGCTTATTGATGAAATTCATATTGTTGAGGTCATGCATGGACTTCCATGATAGTGGTTCATGAGCTTCCCTGGGAAAGGCAACTGGTGCATGTGTTAGATTGTACCAATTATTAGAGCCCCTGCTCAGTAGTGGAATTTAGATGAATGGTCACTTGAGAAGCGTTTGTTTTTGCTCTTGGTCCATTGTCAAAGGTCTGGTCACAGCTCTCTAAACCAATTTTGTTTTTAACCATAGGATTGTTTCATAGTTGAGTTTTCTATGAGGCCTGATGATCACTCTACACCAATAGCCAATGTTATTGAATTTCCAGTCTCTTTGCCAAGTGGCCAACAATGTAACTTTGGTGTTTACCCACTATCGTGATTTCTAGTATTCCAGGGATTCCTTGACGATGGCAGTAATGTGGCATTAGGCCAGCATTCAGGTCTGATAATTCCATGCAACATAGCATCATTGTGGACATATACATAATGGGGACTTCCATAGGATGCAATGCTTCACATTAGGCAAAAGATCCATACCATTCCTACCTCCTCTGAGTTAGAAAAATGTTTTAAGATGTGCACATCATTTTGGGGAGGGTTTTAGAAATAAAGATTACAACGAAAAATTCTAGAGCCAGAGAAGGAACAATATTTGGTCCTAGACACCAAGTTTCTGATAGGGGGTAACTGGAATTATGTTAATAGGTTTAATTTATATAAAAATTTATGCATATTTGAGTGTTCATATATATATATATGCATGTGTGTACATATATGATGTGTCTGTAGTCAACTTTTTAAAAAATATTCAAGCATCAATATGTATGTTACACTTATACGTGTATATATTACATAAATAAGGCAAATTTCAGTGTTTTAGTGGCATATTGTTGGGTTTCAGTTTCTTTAAAATTTTTGTCTTTGTATCTTCATAAATAGAATGATGAATATTTATATTGATGCCATCAATTTTAATGAGATGTATCAATCTTTAAGGGTGATTGTGTAAATTCCGTATTAGTCAGTTTTTTTTTACAATAATGACTGGTAATTAGCTACTTAAAACTTAGTGTCTTATTACACTAAGTGTTTATTTTCATGTTCCTGGATGTTCATGTTAACAATTATCTGGCTGATCACCGCAGGGCTTGGCTGGATGGTTGTGCTACAGGGCACTGAGCTTGTCTCCAGTCCATAGACTGCATTATCTGAGGCCGAGGCTAAAGGGCAGGGACTCCGTAGGTGCTGCATTTTAATGGCGAGTTGCAGGAATGAACAAACTCCCCAATCCAAGCTAAATTGGGGAATGAGGTCCAATAATCTCTAACACGGTTACATACAATTTTAGTGTATTCTTTTGCCTTGGAAATTACTAAATTTTCTAAAAAAAACCTTTACTATTTAAAAATCAAGTTATTTTGACAGACAGATAATTATATTTACCAAACTTTAGAATACTCAAAATGTTTACAAATATGTTGAATTGAATAGAAAATAAAGCTGAATGTGTTTTGAACATGTGACTTTCAATTAAAATTTTCTTTAATAGCTTCACTGGGGGAAAAAAGAAATCCCTTTAGCTAGAATAAATATCACCTAAGACATAGCTTCTTAAACATTCTATAGATCATCTATTACCTTGTTAAATGAAGATTCCCATCCTGCAAATGTAAGATGGGTCTCTATTTAGTGTATGTATCATGCTTTTAGCTAACAGTGAAGGTGCTGCTGGCTTCTGGATAAACGTTCTTCTCATTAAGGAAAAATTGGTATATTGATATTTACTTTTTGTTGTCTTTTGAACAAGAAAACTGTTTGTCAAATGATTGTTATATATTTTACACAATTTCCTTGGTGGTTGTGGTGGTGGTGGTGGTTGTTTTCTATGACCTAGTGAAGTTTTCATGATACAATTCAGACTTGCTGGTAATCCTTGACAATATATTCAGTTGTATTCTGGGGTTAATGCTGACAAAATGCTGAGCCTTGTGGAAAAAGTGACCATAGCGGGCTGTCAGCTGTTAATTCTCCATCATCACATTCACTTGTGGAAGCATATTTTTCCAAACCCATATTCCTTCTCTGGATTCCTGTATAGTTGTTAAATGAGGAGGCCCTCCTGTGAAATTTGGAATTTAGGAGATGATTAAGTATTCATTGGCAGGGAGACACATAGACTAAAGGGAGGACTCGAGGATTACCTGGAGAGGTACTACATCACCCGAGAGCATCAGCACCTCCATCCCTGGGCTTCCCAGACAGATATGAGGACCACATGGTTAAGCAGTCGTTACTTTCAGGGGCAGGTGCACTCTGGTTTCTGAAACACCAGATAATCCCCTGGGTTAAGAGATTAACATAACCTAGGCTTTGAAAAGTTGCAGTTATATTCACCTTCTCTGAATTAATCACAATTCCTGCTTTGAAAACCTGGAATGGCTTCTCTCTTGCTTTATGAACTTCAATGATCCCATAACACAGATTTGTCAAATGGACTAGTAGTTTGATTTCTTAAATCTGGAGAAGCATCGTTATGTCTGTGCTGCTGAAGCTGAGAAGTGGGAGAGAGAGGGTGCACAGGAGCTTTCATGGATCCTTCTAACAAAATCTACCAATGACATTCAAAACCTGACACGGCAGAAGGAGGTTCCAGAAGAAGCATCTCGGGCAGCCCAGCCTCACATATCTCAGTGATTTTTGTTATGACTTGAAACACTGTGGGAAGAGTCCTGTAATCCTGTAGACAGTCATATGTTGCAACATCTTCAGGCTGCAGGCTGCTGATAGTGAGAGTGAAATCTGTCCTGGGTCCACTGCCACTAACCGTGATGGGACCCCTGAGTGCAGTCTGGTTGCACGATAGATCAGGAACTCAGGGGCTTTCCCTGGTTTCTGCTGTTACCAACATAATGCATTGCTAATACTCTGACTTGCCCTTCAAGTGATGGTGACTCTGTCTCCTTAGAGATGCAGACAGGGAGGTTGGAGATTGGGTCATCTGGATGTCACAATTCGCTCCTGAGATTGAAAGCATGAAAACAAATACTCACACAATTGTGTTATAAGAAAACTTCCCTGAAGAGCCAGGCGGTACTGAGCACACCGACTGAGTCAGTTCCTAGTGCTCTCCTTCCTTTGCTGGGAACCAGAGCAGCAGGAGACCCTGGAGCTGAGTGGGGCCCTTAGGTCCATGCTGTGCTCTGACTGGAACTGACTCCTGCACAGCATGTCACCACCCTATTAATAAGTCTTCAGGGCAGTGGGCTGTGCTCTGGAAACCTGTGAATCATCAGGCAGTGGGGCAGACTGGGCACAGCTGCAGGACTGGGTCATCTCAGTAACTCAGCACAGGGCAGTGTCCCATGTAAGACCATGGCAGCACAAATTTGCCTGCAGAGAATGCATTTCTCTCTAGAGGACCTATTGTTACAAAAGATATTTAGGTAATAATTGGCAAGTGTAAATTGAACCTAAGGACTAGATGGAGTAATGTATTCTATGGTTGTGTTTTCATTATGTAGGAGAATGTCCTTGTTTGAGGGGATGCATAATAAAATTGGGGCAAGGCTTGCTGTCAGGTCTTTAAGCAACTCAAATAAACTTGGTGGGAGTAAAAATCATATGTGCTGCACTAGCAACATCTCTGTGAGTATGACATTGTTTCCTTTTCTGAAATGGAAAAAAAATTCTCAGGAACACGTTCAATATATTAAAAAGCATTTAGTAAAGACTTTAAGCCATGTTATTACTCATATAAGGTAAAGCATTTCACATCAAATGCACAAAGATGATACCATGATTTCTCCATGAGACCATTAGTCACAGATCCACCATTGGAGAGCTACTTTTTTTTTTAATATCCAGGGACTAAATGGGCTGTACCTTGTTCTTGGTTTATGGGCCCCATATTCTATTCCCATATTCTGCCACTGGGTATTATTTAACACAGTTCTTCAGCATGAAGGAAAGAACAGTGATGCCAGATTTCATTACTTTAACACGTCTCTGCTTATTCCTCCAACTGTAGGATCCTGGATTGAGAGAAACTTGAAACTCTGGATAGATCTAGGCTCCAGTGACCAACTGCCTCCAAAGACGAAGATCAAGATCACTTCCCCTGAATAATGCGCTGAGCTGGACTCCCCACCATCATGTTTCTGGGTGCTTGGGCACTGCTCCCCTAGAGCCTGGCTTTCTGGAGAGCAGGTGAGGGTGTGGCCTGGAAAAAGGCCAAGTCACTGAACCCTCCTAAGTAAGGGGAACTACTGCTCATTGGATTTCCCTGCCATGCAACATCAATGCCACTTTCCTCTTTTAGTCTTTTGCTGTGAGTGGGGACATCATCCTGATACAGATGCCAGTTTCCCTGTCTGCACACTCAGGAGAGAAAGTTTCAATCTCCTGCCATGCCACTGCCCATGTATATATAAAAAAATATTGAATCTGGAAAAAACTTGGACATAGATTTGAACCTGTATACATCCTATCTCTATCTTTGCCCAGGGCATCCCAGCCTGATTCAGCACCAGAACTTGTGGAACCAGCTGTGTCAGCATCTGCAGACTGTAGTCCAGAGATTCCAGGGAGTTTTACTGGTGTATGACGATGAAGTGTCAGACCATGGGGGCATGGCCTTGCTTCTCTTCCAGATCCCGAGTTTCAAGAGAACTTCACAGCAGACAGCCTGCCGGGTTTTGGGTTCAGAGATGGGCAGCTCTGGATTGAGATAAGTTGTGTGTGTGTGTATGAATGTAGCAGTGTGTGTGTGTGTGTGTATGAATGTAGCAGTCACTGTTGCTAACCTGGGCCTTTCCTTTACACTTCTGCTGACTCCCATGGCCATATCTCCCCTCCGGTCCTCTCTGAAGCTGGGAAGGCAGGTCTATCCACACAGGTGGCAGAGCACAGGACACAGATGAGCATCCCCTCAGACACCCCTCAGTCAGTGATGATAGAGGTGTATACACACTCCAGCTCCCTCATCTCTCAGATGGAATAACCCAGGGGCATTTTTCTGTGTTCTCACCTGGGCTTGAAATCTATCCCCCTCAAGCAATAGCTCCTTACTGAGGAGCCTTTCACTGTCTCTCTTCCCTGTGTCACTTTTCTCATTTCCTCCCAATGTTTCAAGTGGTTTATAAATATGCTGCCTGACAGAAATCCTTTGTGCTGGGCTACTCAACCTAAGACTACAGACAAATTTTCATCCATGAAGCATATCCCTGGTGTGAATTCTTGCCACTGTAACTGAGAATCTTATCCTTAAAATTTGTTTTAAAGCTTTTGGTTTTCTTTCTTGTTTCTTCTTTCTTACTCCTAAAAATGTAGCCTTGAAGCATGCCCTAGGAGTTTCTTTTGTCCCTTTTCCCATGAGACACTCCCTTGTACAATACACAGTTATCTAGCTATATGCTTGTTTAGAAATTCCAGAGATTATCCTGAAACAAACCAGACATAAAGACCCAGCCACGAAATTCTTTCCCATCTAGAGATTATTTCAAGGTTGTTAATTTATCACTCGACTGTGATTAAGATGGTGCCAGCCAACACCTCAGATGGAAAATAACCCAATAGCGGAAGGAGACATGCAGATCTGCACCCTACACCCATTCTGTATGCTTGCCATACTCATTTGTCCTATTTAAACCCCTACGTGTAGGATGAAGTAGAGATAGTTTCTTAGAGGCATGAGTCTGGCCTTCTCAATTGCTGGCATTGCTACTTTGTTTCCACCACACCTTACCTCATATGTTTTTGACTTTTCAGGGGGCAAGGAGAAGAACCTGTGAGTAACACTTCATTTTTGATGCTTAAAAATTATCAGAAAATTAAACAAAAAAATTTCATCTCTCTAAGCCAATCTCAGATTAGGTTTGCCAGTAATTCTTTTTTTCCTATGTCACAAAATCAAAGTAGCCTCCACAAATATCTAAACACCATGAAGTCCACATTAGAGCATCAGTATAAGAACACTGAATGAAAATTTGCTAGACCTTAAAATCTACAGAGCAGAGGGTCCCCAGGACTCAGGTTTCTTCCACCTCTCTTCCCTCATAAGTCTGCCTTGTGATATTTTATTCTGCTTTAGGGGAAGACAGTTGTGATGATGAGAGTCCTTAGTGGGATGAACAATGGCCCCCTCTAAAGACATCCATGTCATAATATCCGGAGCCTATGAATGTTACTTTAAATGTCATAAGGAACTTGGTTGATGTGACTTAGCTAAGAACTTTGCGGTCAGAGGATTATTCTGAATGCTTGAGACCATTTTAACCACAGGGGTCCTTATAATAGGGCAGGAGGAGTGTCCCAGTGAGAGAAGAGCTGGGACAGTGGAAATGGATGATGGAGTGATGGAAGAAGGAGCCATGCAGCCAGAAACGTGGGGGTATCTTAAAGATGGAAAGCAGAGAATTGAATTATCTCTCTCTGAGCAACCAGAAGGGAAACAGCCCTGCTGACTCCTTGACTTTAGTTCAGTGAAACTTCTTGCCTTCAGTATTATAAGATAATAAAAGCAGGTTATGCGAAGCCAATAAGGTCTTGGTGATTTGTTATAGCAACAATATGAAATGAAGGCAATGGGAAGGAACGTCTTTTATCTCCCTGTGTATGTAGCTATCCTCTTTTCTTTCTCTCTTTTATGCACTTCTGAGTATCTTAGAATAAAAATGCTGTGTAAAATATGACTAATCAGATGTCATCTGCAGCTGGAAATTGCCAATAATTAAACTAGCCGATACCTCTCTATTCAAGAGGAGACCCCAAAATCTCAGAATTTATGTATTAAAAAATGTGTATTTATTCTTACATGTTTAAATTTCAGTTCCCTTCAAAGTTGTCTCTGTTTGATTTAATACAGCTACCGAGATGCACTTTCCACTGCTCAGAACAGTTTTTGAGCTCATCAATTTTGATGCCTTTTAATGCTTCTGTCATTTTTTGGTTACCTACTCTATATCATTTCCCTTTCAGTCAGTTTTTTATCTGTGGAAACGAAAAAAAAAAGACTATCGCTCAGGGTGAAATGGGTGAATAGGGAGGATGGGGCATGGGGTCATGTAGTTTATCATCAAAACCTGCTGAACACTCAGCGTCATGTGGGCACGTACATTGTCATGGCGGAAGAACCAGTTGCCTGTTTGCCTCAACTTGGACATTTCTTCCACAAATTGTGACTCAACCTTCTCAAAACTTCCAGGTAAAAACGTCGATTAAGGGCAACCCCCTCGGGTCCCCTCCCACTGTGGGAGCTTTGCAGTCATCTCAGTAAATCCTACTTTCTCACCAAAAAAAAAAAAACTTTCAGTTGCCCATTTGATATGGAGGAACAAGTTCCAAGTATACTGAACAGTTCTGCCCTCCTAAAGATAGTTCCAGTTTTTTGGGGGTCTCCCCTCATACACTACAGGGTTTCTCGTACATTTTCCCACCATAAAATCTTCTACCAACCTATTTATATGTTGCATTAGAAAGGTGAACAAGTAGATTATGAAAGATCGCCTTTAGTATGTGTTTTCCATCAGTTCCACCTTGTTATTTTCTTGTCAATTCTGATAAGGGACAGAGAACATATTTCTCTTAGGGAGAGCAAGCATCAGAATTATTTTAGGTTGGCAATATTTTGAGCTTTTGTACTATCTTGGTATCTGAGAGCCCAGGGGTCAGCTCTCATAAAACAAGGGAGTTAGGATATTTTTTTTCCCTTTGTTCTCACATTAGAAGGGCAAGTTAGATTTACAGGACACATCTGAGAGGGAAGGACTGAGTCAGGGAAATGAGGATGGCAGGGAAGATCGAGAAGTAGAACAATGTAAGACGTGTCCTAATGAAAAGCAGAAAGAATAGCATTTAGTGTCTCTAAAGGCTTCGAAGAAGTTGTGCTTTGTAGGCAAAACTGCAGAAAAAGCCATCTTTCAGTTTACAGACAGCATGGTGAAGGGTGAAGGCAGCAGTTTCACATCATTCTCCCAGCTTTGTCTCTGATTTTATAGCCTTGTGGGTCTTCTATGGAATGAGCATGGTTGTGAGAAAGGAACATATTTAAGATCGCACGGAGCTGAGTTTGAAGCTGAGACCCCTCAATTGCTAACCATGTGATGCTGGGTAAACAACACCTGCTCTGAGGAATTCTGCAGAGCTAGTGGACGAAACACTGTGAAAGGAACTGGCACCTGTGCTGGAGAGGGCATGGCTTCTTGTGCAGCTTTATGAGCACAGGCACTTGGAGATCTTAACAAGAATTTGCAGGTATGTTAAGTGTTCTGAAAGTGATCATCGTGATTAGCTAAGACGGCATTTTTAATAGCTAGGAAACAATGAAAAAATTGTTTTTTTAAGTTGCTAAGATGATGGCCAAACAAAGGCAAAAGAAAACACTAAACTGAAGTCATTGGGTACGAAGTTGAGCCTCTAGTGAAGCACTTAGGCCGTCTTTCAGAAAGGAGGGATGATCAGGGAAAGGAAATGTGCAGTAGAGTCAACACCTTGGTCACCCAGGAAGCCTGAGGAGACTAGAAGTCTCCTTCCTGAGAACCAGAAAGCATAGAGCAACCCTTAGTAAAAGAAATAATTACAAAACCAAGAGCACAATCTTATTTTCTTTCCCTGGCTCCGCTCTCTCACTTCTTAGCTCAAGATCATAAATCACGTATTGTGCTGCGTGCACAGCACACTGACTGGCCACTTTGTAATGAACAGAAGTAAATCCAATAATCCCAAACCCCAAACGCCTCCCAAATATGATTCTTGTCACATGTCCACCCCCATTTCTCCAAACATGCTAAAACCTCTGTCATCCTTCACCTAGACCCAGCCAACATCACCCCAAAGATCAATCAGCTTCTTTGCCCCTTGTTGCTGGATACATGGTACTCACTCTTGGCTTCTTAACTGTGGCCACAGGTGTGTTTTTTACTTTCTTCTCATGCCCACAGCTTTTTCTCAGGACTCACTTTCGCCTGGTCCATGCTGTGCATCAGATTCAGCCACCTGCTTCCCTCCCTGGAATCCAGCACAGACTGTCTGGAAGCTTTTTTTTTTAAAGCTACCAAATGCAACCTCTGATAGGAATCTAGTTGGAGAGACAGCATGTGCCCATCTAAAACCACTGAGAAGATGGAGAAACTGGAAAACATTTTGGTGCTGAGGAAATGCATACAACCATCAGGTTCTGTCTTTTTTTGACTGTTTCTAACCACTGTTCTATCTTCATGATCTTGGAGGAGAAAGGAATTAAGGAGAATAAGGGAGTGTTCTGTGGTTAGGATGTGAAAAGAGAAGTGAAGACAGGAAGAGAGCAGAATTTATAAACATGTCACAGTGATTTGGGTTTCTCTAGCCACGGACCTAGCGTGACCAAGATGCCTGGGAAGAACATCTCTTATTGTGATTACTGCCCTTCATGCCTCAGACGCCTGCAAACCTTCACATAATGTGATAATGCCCGTCTTGTCCTTAAGAGCAGGTCTAAGGCCCAGCAAGTCTTCTTCCTTTGAGTATTTATTCTGGATTTATTAAACTAATTCTAGAAATAATTAAATCATGGGCATGGCTTAAGTCATGACAGGAAGTCTGAAGGTTGAAACATTTAGGGTGTGTGCAGCAGCTTGGTGACAGCAGAAAGGCCTCAGTCCTTTTCTACGTTTCTGCTTTGCACCTGCACTACTTTGGCTATTTAAATTTGGGTTCAGTGCCTGACGTCTCAAGAGGGCTGCAGATACTCTAATCATTATGTCCTCTCATAATTCTTGCAGGAGGAAATTCCAGGCAAATCTTTACACTTCTTCCCATTTATAAAGGATCAAAATTCTTCCCGGAAGTTCTACTCACTCCTTACTCCCCTTGTATCACATTGTAGAGCTAATCGCAGGTGCTTCTAATCCCTGCTCCTGCCCTGGGCTAGAAGGAGCTTACAGTCCTTCTCCTGCAAGGTCAGAGCTGGTGCCCAACAGTGAAGAAAAAGAGAGACAGAGAGAGAGAGGAAGTATGCTTCATCATGTTTAACTCTCACAATATGTATAAATTAAGTGGGAGGGAAAGGAGAGATCTTAGGCACGTCTTTATCTAGTGAGGGTTGATACAAGCCAGATCCTGAGGATGACAAAAGTCACATTTCTAGTTTTCCAGGTGGCATGTTAACTTGAGCAGTGGTGGAAATGTGACCTGAACATTTAAGGCCAGGACAGGCTTTCAGGTACTGCAATAAATGAGGAGAGATGTGGAATAGGGTCCTCAAACCTGGGATAAGTTTAGGCTCACACTGCCCAAGATCTGCCAAGCTCTGTCCTTGGGCTGTGGCATAAGCAGCTACTTTCCTGAGCCACGGGGCTGAGGACCTGGGAAGAACTAAAGGCCCTGCCCATGGACCTACCTGGCAGGGGCTTCAGAAAAGGAAACTGCTCACACACCCACAGGTGCTGTACCAATTCCAGAGCCATGGCCATGGTGAAAGTCTGAAAGACCAGAGTGTTAGGACCTGGGCTCCTGGGGCCAGCTGTTCTCAACTCTGTCCTGACTGGTTCTGAATGGCTGGGATACTTCTGTGGCTAAAGATGGAGCTTTAACAAATGTCACCACCCAAGTCTTTACTCAGCCAGACTCTGATCTGTTTAGAAAGAAAAAGAATAGGTGCTAAATGAATTATATATATGTGTACATGTTATGTAAACATTATTTGGGAAATATCGATAAAATGCTGGATATACATTATAGGCATATATGTATATATGATATATTTGTATTATAAATCAAAATGACATGTATATGGAAAAACGATGACTTTATTAGTATAATTGATAACTTTAAATTTGATAAACTGAGCATGGACATTTAACACCAGCAATGTGTGCATCACGTAATAGTCTCTTCCCTGCAAAATAGCTGGAGGATCAGAAAGTTCGGGCCCCACCCCCCATCCTCTGCTAGGCAGAGCAGTGGCCCACTCATGTTGAGGATTCTGAATGGTCCTAGAGAGGTTCTGGGGAGTACAGAGCTGGGAAGATGACAGGGAGTGAGTCTGGGCTCCTAATGCAAGAGTTTTGTCCCCAAGCTCAGCATGGGCCGTTCTTCCCTGGGGTCTCCTATCAGACAGAGCGGCCCGCATGGCTCTCTGGCTGTATGGTCACAGGGTGGAACCTCTCCACAGCCTAATTCCAGGCTCATTCCTGACTGAAGAAACATGGGATCTCGCTGTCCAGCTTTCATAATCACACATCTGCCGGGACTCTATTCACAGTGGGTCACCATGAAGGCAGCTCAGTTTCTGATGGCCTGAGTGATACCTGTCCTGGTCCCATGGCCCCAGTTTCAGGCAGGCATCATGTCTAGGGGTCAGCTGAAGCCAACAGCAGCTCAGAGCTGGACCTGCTTTTGAGGCTAGGAAATTGTGGGTGCTCTAGCCACACCTGCTGGTGACAGCAGCTGTCTCTCCTGAACACAGGGAAGTTAGGCTGGAGACGGGCTCCACATAACAATCCTTCTGGTGTCTACATGCAGAAGAAACATGAACATCCCCAAATCAAGCAAGACATCCATTCAGTTTGATGAAATTCTGATGAGAAACCACAACAGGCTAACAACTCCATTGTCAAAGAAACGGTCCTGTTGAATGTAAGGAAACCAAGGATGAAACCTAAGTTCTCCTTCCTTGCCAGAGAGTCAGATCAGCGGGAGAAAGCAGGCAAAGCTGTGTCCTCCCAAGGCTGATCCCGTTCAGAGAGGGTGGGGTGGTGTATTAGACTTCTCATATTGCCATACCAAAATACACTGGGCTGTGTGACTTAAACAACAGACATTTGTTTTCACAATTCTGGTGGCTGATCAAATTTCAGCAGGGTTCACTATCTGACAAAGACCTTCTTCCTGGTTTCCAAATGCTACCTTCTCGCCTTGTTTTCACATGTCTTTTGCTTAGGGGTCTGGGGAGACAGTTGGAGAGAGAGGGAAAAGGATAACTCTTTGGTTTCTATTCTGCAGAGAACTAATCTTACCAAATCAGTGCCCCAGCCTTATGACTACAGGTACCTCTTAATAGGTCCTATTTCCTCACTAGGAATTTTGGCTTCAACCTACGTTTGAGCGACACAGTTCAGTCCATAACCAATGGGACCTAGGAGGGCAGTGGGGAGGGTCAAGGCTGGGCTTCCAGTGTCAGAGCACACCGCACAGAGAAGGTTTCCCTACAACTCGGCACACAGACAGCTCCTCCCACGCGCTCCAGGTCCCACAAGGCCTCATTCCAACCTTAGGGGCTCTCTGTTAAAATAGGACAGGATCACCCTTACTTTCTGATATTAGCTTATTGTGCAGTTTGTTTGCCATCTAGAGGCAAATCTTTGACGTAGCAACACAGGGGATTTTGGATTTTGTGATAGTGAAAACTATGAAATTTACATTAACTAAACTTAATGCATTGAATCTGTATAAAAATAAAGGAAATTGAAGAAATTAAAATGAGTCTGAAGAAATAAAAAGACGTATTCCTTTCAAACAAGAACAGTTTGAGTTAACTGTTAACACAGATGACTTTTTAGCAGTAGTTATGAAATGGTAAATGACAACTTCAGTCAGGTGACCAAAATGTAATTTTATGTTCAAAAATTATTTTCAAGAATCTTGTAAACACATTTTCAAATTAAAACAAACAGGCAAACAATGTGGGTGTATCTGCAGATTCACTTAATAGAGATCTTCTCAAATGTTGCTTGAAACGAAAGAACATTAAGTATTTTTGATCTTTAAGAAGAAAACCTATGTTCTTCACTATGTTATAGCTCATGCTGGCTGAGGAATAGATATGGGGAGGTCTGATTGTGAAGAAGAAGAAAAGCCATCTGCTGAGGGTGGAGTTACCTCCAGCCCACCTGAGTGACCTAATGCAGCAGAGCCACCCACACCACGAAGGCCACCTGTCTGCCTCTGGACTCTTATGTCACAAAGAAATTTTGTCATAATTAGGCCATCATATTTTTAGGTTTCTTTGTATCAGCCAATTCTATTTTACTCAGATTCTTTCTGGATCCTCTTTTGGTTTTTTGAATCATGTTTTTCATCTATCTTATCTGGGAATATGGCCTCTTGGAATATTGCATCATGCAGATTTTGTGTTTGTTTTTCTTTAATGTATTTGACTACCTTAAGTTGACTTGGGCCTTATCTGCTGTCTCACATCATTCAGAAACTCAAGATCACCAAATGTGATTGGTCAGAGGAGGCATAAAGGTGACCTTGGCATTGCTTAATTCTTGCTCTTGCTACTTATACTTTGTTTTCTTCCATTGCATCCAGTAGTGACATTTAGACTCAATTATGTATTTATTATTACCTTTAAATAATGAATTAAGTGTCTTATGTTTCTTAATTTGAGGACTCCATTCTGCTTGATTTTTATATTTACTTTTTCCATATAGCTATTAAACATAACAAAAACGACTCCTTGGAAACCCAAAAGAATTAACAGGAAAAAACCAATAACCGCATTAAAAAAGTGTGCATAGACATGAACAGACACTTTTCAAAGGAAGACATACAAGGGGATAACAAAGATATGAAAATATGTTCAAAATCACTGATCATTAGAGAAATGCAAATCAAAACCACAGTAGAATACCATCTCACACCAGTTGCGTGGCTACTATTAAAGAGTCAAAAACCATCAGCTGTTGGCAATGTTACAGCAAAAATGGAATTCTTATACACTCTTGATGGGAATGTAAGCTAGTTCAGCCTCTGTTGAGAGCACTTTGGGGATTTCTCAAGAACTAAGTATATATTTGTCATTCAATCCACCAATTCCACTACTGGATATACACCCATAAAAGCATAAATCATTCTACCAAAAGACACATGCTCTCGTATGTTTATAAGAGCACTATTCACAATAGCAAAAAGATGGAGCCAACCTCGCTATTCATCTTGGAGGACTGGATAAGAAAAATGTGGTACATATACACCATGGAATACCACACAGTCCTGAAAACTGAAATCATGTATTTGCAGCAACATGGATGTAACTGAATACTATCATCCTAAGTGAATTAACTCAGAAACAAACAAAAACCAAACTCTGTGCGTTCTCACTTGTAAGTGGGAGCCTAACACTAGGGATGCATGAGCCTAAGGATGAGCAAAACAGACGCTGGAAACTCATAAAGGGAGATGGGAGGGAGGGATGTAAGGGTTGAAAAACCACCTATTGGGTACCATCCACCACCTGGGTGATGGGATCAAGAGAAGCCCAAACCTCACCATCACACAGCACACCTATGTAACACAGCTGTCTATGTATCCCGTCAATCAAAAGCAGATAAGAAAACATCTTGATATTTCAATTGCACTTGCTATGGAATCTATTGCCTTGGAATAGACAATTATTTCAAAGATATTTTATACCCTTACCCCGAAGCAGATTTTTTGTTGCCTCAAACATTCCTCTATGCTTATCACACTATGTTATGGCATGTAGCTGACATGAATCATTATTAGGTTTGATAGAACACGATTTTACTGGGAATCTATTGAAAGTCTAAATTTCCAATACATTTACAGTTAAAATACAGAATTTAGATTCATTTTCAGATGATAATGGTATCATGTGAAAATAATGCATCTTTGTATCTTTTTTTTTTTTTTTTTTTTTTTTGAGTTGGAGTCTCACTCAGTCGCCCAGACTGGAGTGCAGTGGCCGCTCCTGGCCACCGCAGCCTCACCTGCTGGACTCTGGCGATCCTTCTGCCTCAGCGTTCCA